ACACACACACACACACACACAAAAATGGACTTATCTATGAAACAGAAACAGAATCACAGACCTAGAGATAAGACTTGTGAGTGCCAAGGGGTAGAGGAAGCTTGGGGTGAGCGGATGCAAGATGGGTAAGTATGAAGGTCTTAGTGCTTTGTACAGGGAACTATATTCAACATCCTGGAATAAACTGTAATGGAAAAAAATACAAAAAAAGAATACACACACACACACATATATATATAAATATGTATAACTGAATCTCTGTGTTATTCAGTAGAAATTAAGACAACATTTAAGCCAAATATACTTCAATAAGGGATTCCCTCATAACTCAGTCAGTAAAGAATCTGCCTGCAGTGCAGAGGACCCGGGTTCGACCCCTGGGTGGGAAAGATCCGGTGCAGAAGGGAATGGTAACCCACTCCAGTTTTCTTGTCTGGAGCATCTCATGGACAGAAGAGCCTGGTGGGCTACTGTTCATGTGGTCACAGGAGTCGGACACGACTTAGCAACTGAACCTTATTCAGTAAAACACATTTTTAAAGAAATAAAAAGGCAATCTGAAAAGATGGGGCGTGAATGTGCGACACAGTAGTAAGCACCCGGGCACGCAGGGGCCTCTTACTTCCTTCTCTGGACCAGTTTTCACAGCAGCAAGTGGGGATGTTATTAGCGCTTCCTTCCCAAAAAGGTGAAAAGAAATGAATGAAATGACCCATCTAAAGTGCCTGGACCCGTTACCTGGGAAGAGCTCTGAACACCAACCTGTGATCCTCCAGTCCTGCGTCGGGACCCGGGGGCGGTCCAGTGTGTTCAGAGGGACATGGCTGGAAAAGTCACATGGCAGGAGAAACCCAGGGTCCTCCTGGGCCGAGGCTGAGGTGTGGCTGCATCCGGTCAGGAGACCCTGAGGTCCTGTGAGTGGATGGACAGCCCAGCTTCCTGTCGCCTGGAGGGCGGCTCTGGGACTCACGTGGAAGGCCAGTGTCACCGGACTAGGCCCACTGCGGGGAGAGAGCCCAAGTCAGGCATGGAGGGCGCAGAGCCCAAACGGAAAGGCTGGGGATGGCATCGCTGTGTCCCAAGGAGGCAGGACGTTTCCAGGTGTCTTGTGGGGCCCTAAGGAGCAAACCTGGGGCCAGGGGTCAGAGGTTCAGGGAAACATCTTACCAAGAAAGAGCTTAGACGTCCACTCTGCCCCTCCAGGAATGGCCCCCCGAGACCCACCACAAGTTCACTGGACGCGGCGAATGGCAACTCTGCTCCCCTACGAGACCCTGGGCAACGGAGCTGAGACTGCAAGGCCCAGGCTCCTCATTGCAGAGACCGTGGCCGTGGAAGCTCTGAGACCGTTCTCAGGAAGCCACGTGCAGCGCCTGGTCCACACACACCACACTCACCCCTACCTTCAGCCCAGGGCTGCCAACCGCAGGCCAGGACAGATTGGCAGCTGCCCTTGCAAGGACAGACTCTGCTCATAGAACCTGTCAACCCCGAAGCTCCCAGGACAGAGGGCAAATAAAATCTATGAATGAATAACGACCACGATCGGGAGCCCAGGGGCTTCACAGACACGGGTTCTCGTTGTACAACCAGCTGGCAGGGCGGGCGTTTCAGCTCCGAGTTTCCAGCTGAGGAAATGCGTGTCCCTGAGTCTCAGTGACCTTCCTCAGGTCAGACAGCCCGTAAGCACTATCACAGAGGTGGAGCCAGGCATCACATGCATGGCCTACCCTCAGCATTCATGGTGATGCCGGGCCCCCGTTGCCACCCTGGGTCAGCGGGGTCTGCTCGGGGATGTGCCTGAGGGGAGCGGGGTCCACGTTGAGCTGGTTCACAGCCATGTCCCTGGGCCTGGCTCAGGCCTACACCGAGCGAGCGGCTCCTTCATGAATATTGTACAATGGGTGAATAAATGAGCAGTGGGAGCCCCAGCTGGGGGAGGCGGAACAGAGGGTACAGCGGGGAAGGATGGAGCGGAGGCCCGTGGGTCGGGACCACGAGGTGTGTTAGCATGCAGGGCCTGACTCGGGAGGCACGGCCTCACTGCACAGGCACGAGAAAGATCCAGGCAAAACCAAGGCAGAAAAAACCACTCGGCATGAAATAGCCGGGGAGGGGAGACCGGGAGCAAGCAAGGCTTGTCCAGGAACGAAAAAAGGGTGCCTTTACAGAAAACCCAAGTTCATTCTCCTGAAAGAGAGAGTGAAACAATTTCAGGAACGGGGAAGGCACTCGCGCTGTGGATGTTGTTTTCAGACACGGCAGAGAAATCTCTCCAGATTGAGCTCCAGGGCCAGGCTGCTCCAAGCTCCAGGGAAGAAAGACAAGGGGGTCCCTTGCTCTGAGACCTGGGGTTTCCTAAGGACACCCAGGCCAGCAAAGCTCCCGAAGGGCAGACTGTAAAACAGAGCTAGTATCTGGAACCGTGCACAGCTGCATGGCCATCGAGGGTGCCGGGGGTGGGGGAGATGGGGGCTGGAAACCTTCTCTTGTCGTTAAAAACAGCTCAGCTTCCAACTGCTCTGAATTATAAGGGGGCCTCTGGAGCAGAAGAGGGGAAGAGCATGGACTGAGACCAAACCCTCTGTTTTCATTCTTTATTTCTATTTCACTCATTTTATTTCTCTGCCCATAAGCCCCATCGCAGGAGGCCGGGCTCCCTGGCTCATCAGTTCTCATGTGAAGCTGCTCTGACATCATTTTCTACCTGACACAAGAAGGATGCTGCCTGCAGAAGGCACTTCGGTCAGGGAGAAGCCACTGTTTTTAGCAGAACGAATGCGTTCCTTCGCTCAGGGGCACGGGCTGCAGCTGAGGCCATTCCGTCCTTCGGTGAACGTGTGAGGAGGTTTCCTGGCACAGGAGACAGGCCGCTTGGAAAGCAGCCAGACACCACAATGGACTTATTTCTTTTCTTGCTCTGATGGAGCAAACACAAGGTCTAACCATGATGTCATAAGAGTGATTGTTCAGAGCCCTGGATGAGGCCATCTGATTCCCAGCCTCACCTGAGTCATGGTCCTTTCAAATCCAACACTGTTTCTTAAAATAAATACCAAAAATGACTTTGTATGAAGGGCAGGACAGATCTTGGCCATTTAACAATGACCTGGGGATTTAATGAATGAGTAAAATATTCTCTGGCCAAACTGTGAAATTATTTTCCATTGTTTCCCCAGAAAGAAGTTTTCCATCTATTTAACACAGTCTTTGGAATTTTGTCCTAAACATATGATGGCTTTGGGATGTAGAAAACTACTGATGCCCCGATCTCTCTGCTCCCACCTGGATGGCAACCCCTGGGCAGATGAGCACGCCTTCCTCTGCCCTCGTTTGTCATTTGAGTGAGCGGGGCAGGCAGGTGCTCTGCCGTCGGGTCACTCCCTTCCTGGACTGAGAGCCTGGTGGAGGCTAACACTCGGGTCAGGCTGCTCCATCATGAGCTCCCTTATTTCTCCCGCTTTATCAGGAGGGTGTGTTCAGACCCCATGCCACTGATGGAGGACCTGCACCCGAGCGCGTCTTCCCCAGGCTCGCTCGCCGGCATTGGAACTCAAGGCCTTGGACTCCGAGTCGGGCCCTTCCTAAAGCGGTGCTGCGTCTCCTTACAGACACACAGCCCTCGGGAAGAGCAAGAGCTGTGTGCCGCCCTCCACTGCTCAGAACCTTCCAGAGAGGCGCTCGGGGAGTGGGCAGCTGTGCAGAGCTGGGAGGACCCTTGTGAGTCAGCCCTGCCTGGAGGGGCCCGGCTTGCGGGACTCAGATGAAGTCCAGCGCCTCCATCGTGACCTTAAAGGGAACATCAAATGTTACTAGGATTATGTGTTCCTCGAACACCACAGACGGAAGCATTTATATCTGACAGTCACGAGGAAGTTATCGCAGGTGATAAGACACTCTTTTGGCTGCAACCAGAGAGGAAAATTGTGATGAGACAAACTGGGGGGGAATGCAGCAGACAGTGAGGGGGGGTCGCCCAGAGGGGAGGAGGGGAGCCTGGGTCTCAGCGGAGGGCCTTGCGCGTGAGCTCACGGGGGCATGACACCAGCATGCAGAGACGCTGCAGGGAGTTCACTGGGGGTACAGGCACCCCTGTGGGAGGCTCAGGGGGGGATCCGGGGATCCCTCCTTCCAGGGACCGGTGCTCACTGAGCCCTTGCACCCACCGCACCTCCCGACCTTGGGGGACGACATGCAGGCAGGGCTTGGGGACCCCTGGGCTGGGGAGGGCAGCTGCGGGAAGCTGTGCCCGGGGCATCCCACGGGGCTGGGGGGCTCCTGCTGTGAGCCCCAGGGGAGAAGGAAGCAGGGAAAGACAAGATGGACCACCTTCTGGAAAAGAGGAATCGCCCAGCAGAGACACAGGAAAGACCACGCGTCTGGGACCACCGGTGGCTTGAGTCCCCGGGGGGATGCCAGGGCAACCGCCCTGGTCATCAAGAGGCCGCGCGCCGCGGGCGACAGGCGGGGCGTTTGACTCACAGGGACAGAGCCCCTGAGTCACGGCCCGTGGGCGGCAAGATGAAGAGGGTAGGGTGACCTGGGGCTCCCCTGGGCCCCTGGGGATGGCGTCACCTCCCCACGGGAGCCCGGGAGGGCTCAGGGCTGGCAGAGGGCACGGCGGGTGGGAGCTTACTGATAGGGTGTCCATCTGCGTGGAGCCCAGCTACGTCAGGGGTGGGGAAGATGCCACGCGGGGAGACCCCAGGGATTTGAAGAAGTTTCTGGAAGCATCGCCACTGTCTGAGAAACTCCCCCCAGATGGCAAACCGAGTCAGGAGGAGGGGGCGACACAGGAGGCAGCAAACCGTCTCCCTGGGGCTGCAGACCGAGCGGGAGGAGACGGAGCGGCCCGCGGTGCTGACCTTCCGGCGCACGGGGCTGACCTTCCGGCCCGCGAGGCTGACCTTCCGGCCCGCGGCGCTGGCCTTCCGGCCCATGGGGCTGACCTTCCGGCCCGCGAGGCTGACCTTCCGGCCCGCGGCGCTGGCCTTCCGGCCCAGAGACAAAGCGGAGTCATGAAGGTGGCAGAGCAATCCCAAGACGCTCCCGGGTAACCAAGGAAGGGAAACCCGGGGGCAGACACCACGCTCGAACGTTTCTGGAAAAGTGACGCAAACGTAGGTGGAGGGCTGCAGAAACGCAGAGTGGAGTCGAACCCGAAATAGGTGAAAAGAAGCCACTTTGTCTCCTCTGAAGAGAGTTCCAGAGGAACTGCTGGGGCAGAAGAACCCAGCAGAGAAAGGAGGGGGCGGGGGAGGGGACAGGGGCCGCGCAGCGTCAGCGAGAGGCCTCTGGACTCCACGGGCCCCCCAGCTGCCCCAGGAGGAAACCGCTGGGTGGAAGGACGCCCGGTGTGGGAAGTGTTGGGAGAGAGAGGAAGGCAGACGGCCCCCGACCTGCAGGACACCCGCCAGGGAGGGAAGCCAGAGGCAGACAGGGCTGACTGTGAGCTGGGCCCAGGCTCTGTTCAGGAGGAGGGGTCTTTGGGTTTTGGGCGCAGGAGACCCAAGGGCGGGCTCTGTGGCCCCAGAGCTGAGAGGTGTCCTGGATAACCCAGAGTCTCATCTGCTTCTCAAATGTGGGCCGTGGACCAGGAACCCGGCCTCCCCAGGGAGCATGTTGGTCAAGATCTTCCCTCCTCCTGAGAGGTCCACTCCAGCCTGGGATTCCTCGCTGATGCGGAGAAGGTGGTGGCCAGAGGGAAGGATCCACTCCCCCAGGAGGTGGCCTTGCAGGAGGGCAGGGGGCCACTGGCCATTAACGGACAGTCACTCTGCTTTACAGGCTGTGTGAGCCTGGAGGACCTCGAGACAGCCAGTGCCCGAGGTTGGGGTGATCATGACCCCTCCTAGACTGATGACTGGTGAGCTAAGTGAGACCTCTGCAAACACAGCAGCCTGGTGGCCAGCCACCACGAGCCTGAACCCCCGTGGTCAAGTCCAAGCAGATCCTGTCTCCCACCTGCAGGCTCGCCCTCCGCCCCCAGCCCTCCCAGCTGCTCCAGGCACTGTCCCCAAGGGGAACAACAGGCTGCCGAACCTCTGAGTGTCCAGTGGTCAGCCCCCACACCCCCGCCACTCTCCCTGAGTTCTGGAGGGAGTGGTTTCCTCTGTTGCTCCGGGTGCCCTGATGCCTCAGAAATAGCTTAGGGCAGAGAATGCTCAGTCCTGTCACCCCCTTATCCACGGCTCTGGTTTCTGAGGTTTCAGTGACCCGCAGTAAAACAAGCTCAGTAAACTTTGAATGAAAAATTCCAGAAATAAATAACTGATGAGTGTTAAATTGGGAGTTGAATTTTAGGTGTTCTGAATAGGGTGATGGACTCTCACACCATCCTGCTGTGTCACCCCCAGATCCCCAACCAGCAGCGTGGTCCTGGCCAGAGACACAGGCTCACGCGAAGCAGCAGGTCCTCCTACAGGTTCATCCAGAGGTCGGCGGTAGGTAGCCTGACTGTACATCAGGACGCCGCCATCATTCACCTCAGTGACCCCATGACCTGGCATTGTCATCGCTCAGCATCACAAGAAGAGGAGGTGCAGCATGATGAGATATTTTGAGAGAAGGACCATACCAGCACAGCTTTTATCATGGTATATTGTCACAACGGTTCTGTTTTATTATTGATGTCATTAATCTCTCACTGTGCCTAATTAATAAATTAGCATACACACGTGTGGGGGAAAGTGGTATTAATAGGATTGGGTACCACCCACGGTTTCTGGCATCCACTGGGGGTCTGGGAACATATCTGCCAAGGGTATAGAGGCCCACTGTACCCACTGCTAGAGGGATGTATGGAGGAAAGAAAACAGCTGTCAACTCTTTACAGAACTGGGCACTCAGGCCCACCTGTTTCCTTGGCGGGAAGCCGCCTCCTTCCCTCCGCTTTCGTCCTTGGAATATGGAATTTTCATGCTTTGCTTGAAAACTTGGCTGTGTCTCTGCCAACAGCAGTCGTGATGGCAGGACGCGGGCTGTCCTGAGGTCTCCGGCCACGCCTGCAGGGACAGTGGACGGGGCCTCCGCCTCCTGCTTCTGTTTCTGCATCGTTAGATCTCTCTCACTGTGCAGCACACACACAATCCCCAAGAAGAAACGATCTCCTTACAAAATGACATAAAACCAAACCTGCCCATTAGCCATTCCGCGCTAACGGGCGATACTCTTTGTTGGAAAGTTTCTATTTCTCTAAGACAATGGATAATATGGCACTCATTCTCCATGGGCTTTTATGAATTATAGTGAAGGACAGAAAAAAAGAAAAATCCATATGTCTCTGAAATCCCAGAAATCAGAAGCAAAGAGGAAGTTTAATGAATATGGAGTTTGAAAATTTTAATGTGCTCAAGAGACCATTAAGACATTGCGATACATTAAGTCTGAGAAACTGAAATTATTAACTTGTATGAACATCATGCTTCCTTATCCTAGATTCTAACAGAGGCCTGCAGTGCCAAGCAGAGAGGTTTTGGCAAGTTTGTGGAGGATGTGTGTGGACTGAGACAATTCTGGTTGTTTGGGGACATGCCACTCCAGGTGTGGAAGGGAGAAGCTGCAGGCAGGGATCAGGGGGGTTCTCAGAAACCAGGCTGGGTGCTGTGGTCACAGCCAGGCCCGCCCTGGAGACCAGGAAGCTGGTGGGGGGCTGCACAGATGCTCCTGCAGACTCAGGAAGTGGGACCCCATTTCTTGCTTCAGTCCTGCCTCCCTAAGTCACAGTCCTTCATTCTTACTGAGCCTCCTCTGGGCCCCGACGGAGGAGCTGGTGTCTTAGGGGGGTTGTGAGTCCTGGGCATGTGTCCCCTCGGCTTCCTGACTGACAAGTCTGACCTCCACCCCCCAGATGACTGCCCTGACCTCACCACACGGTGGGACATGAGAGGACATTTCTCGTGTCCTCTCCAGTGACTCACGTAGTTTGGGTGAAAATGCTACGACCTTAAGGTTTAAAGTTACACACCCTTTACTAGGGAGATATGACTGTTTACAGAAACGTGTGCACACGCACATGCACTCTCAGCCGCGGGGGATGTCCTTCCTCCTCAGCATCTGCAGGTCTCGTCTCAAAGCCCACCTCCCACCTGGCGGGACAGCTGCCCGCATAGCAGCTGGACCCACCCTGACCTGTTGTGCAGGGGCCAGGGGAGCGGTGCTCACTTAGACCACCGGGGTGTGAGGGTCCTTTGCCTCGGCCTCTCCTAGCAGCCAGGAACCCCAGCTGTAACCCTTCAGAGCCCTCGGAAATAGAAAGCCTCGCAGATCATCAGAGGAGCCTGGTGTCAGCCGGGTTTCCACGTCGGAAAAGACAATAGATACACATTCACACAAAACACACATGTACATGCATACATACACACATGCATACACATGTACACATGTGTGCTAAGTCGCCTCAGTTGTGTCCGACTCTGTGAGACCCCATGATCTATAGCCGGCTCCCCTCCAGGCCTCACTGTTCATGAGATTCTCCAGACAAGACTGCCGGAGTGGATACGCACACATACATATACACACATGGCATATACACGTGACCGCATGTACAGAATTAGAGTCACCTCTGATGGCAGCAGGCCCAGCTCCCATCCCAGATCCTGCCTTGTCTGCTGTGACTGCAGCTCCTCCGTCAGAAGCAGTCACTGTCTCACCATCCACGTCCAGGATGCCGAGGGACGCTCTTGGAAGAGCACGGAAACTCTTCGAGCCAGTTCTGCACCCTGGCTCTGAAGAGCCTCTCCACCCAGGCCCTCATTCTCTGTTCTGAAACGCTGACTCCACGGTGGGGGCAGGCTGGGCAGCCTGGCTGGGAGGGACTGGATGCCCCAGCTCAGCCTCCATCACAGAGAACGCCCCTGCAGGGTCCATGGAGTCACTGCTGAGACCAATAACCTCCCAGGTATGTGCATGAGCTTGACTGAAGCTAGCTGAGCCGTGCCCATGGCTGCAGACCCCCTACCTACACTGGCCAGACCCCAAACTCACGTGTGGGATAAATCACTGCAGGGCTTTGGGATGGCGTGTGACTCAGGGATGATTTCAAGAAAGGCCAGGAGTGTGTCACCTGGAAACCATGACAAAGGACGACCTCGCAGCATTCAGCCAGGAGCCCAGTGAGTTGGACCCAAGACCCAGCTTTCTGGATGGACATGACTCAGAAAGGTTTGAACTTCGAGCAGAATGAACAATAGCTGGATTGGGAAGCAGCCAGGGTTGGGAAGGGAGAAAGCAGACAGGTTGCTGAGAAAAGATAAGAGCTAAAATGCACATGTCAAGTAGGCAAGCGCTTCACATGATCAGCAGCTAATTTTTAAAACAGCCCTTTGAGTCATTTCCATCGTGTCCGACTCTTTGAGACCCCATGGACTATAGCCCACCGGGGTCCTCTGTCCATGGAATTCTCTGAGTAGGAATACTGGAGGCTTGCCATGCCTTCCTCCAGGGAATCTTACTGACCCAGGGATCGAACCTGTATCTCTTACATCTTCTGCATTGGCAGGTGGGATCTTTACCACTGGTGTCAAAACAGCCTTATGGGGTGAGTGCTGTTCTCATCCCTTTCGGTGGGAGAGAAAGATGGAGACAGTGTGGCAGTGTGAGCTGCTGGAAAGGTAGACCAGATGGATGGTGGGCCTTGCAGGAGATCTGGGTAAGCGGTATGGGAAGGAATGTGTGTCCTGGCTTTGAAAAGGCAGAAGGAATGCCGTGGGCAGGGCGCCAGGCTGTCACCAGGGTGGGCCGAGCTTGACAGGACTTTGAGCTTCAGCTGGATAGAGTGAGGGGGCCCAGCATCACCGAGGAAACGGGAGATCCCCATGGGAGCCTGTCGCTGCCCCCAGCTCCCGGGGACTTCTGGAGTCTCCTTGACATTTGGAAATCCTGGGCCCTGAACGGGGTGTCCTGGAATTCTCATAGCCACTGAGTGATTTAGAGAGCTGCTGGGTGACCCCACCTTGAGGAATTTCTGAAGAAAAAGAGGGCATTTGCAAATGAGGGCGTTACCCCTATCACCAAAGAGGAGATGGAGGAACAAAAAGGTTAATTAATTTTCTCTGAGGTCTCGCCGAGAGTCAACTGCTTAACTGGATAAGAAAATGTAACTCGAACGATTTTACAAGTGACAGGCTGATGTCTCCCCTCCTGCTCCCCGTGTGGCCCAGAAGGCGGGTCCTCCACGTCCACTGGCCAGTCCGGCTCCCGCTCCTTCCACCTTGGCTGGGGGCTGACCCCTCGACACCACCACCACAGACAGCAAAGCTGCAGGTTTCCTTAGAGAATGAGGCCACGAGCGCTCCTGTTCTGTCTCCGTAATTAGCCTCACGTCAGCCTTCTCCTGGGCACCATCAAATTTTCTATTCACGAGAATATTCTTCTCTGGTGTCATCACAAACACAGATCAGTGGTTAGACACACATCAAAGTGTGCCCAGACCTTTATGTTTTTGGACTTGTTCTTTGAGAAAGCAGACCATTTCTTTAGGTTCATGTGTGATGAGTGTCTAACTCTTTGCAACCCCACAGACTGTAGCCCACCAGGCTCCTCTGTCCATGGGATTCTCCAGGCAAGAACCCTGAAATGAGTTGCCATGCCCTCTTCCAGGGGATCTTTCCGACCTGGGATCAAACCCATGTGTCTTAACGTTTTTCTGCATTGGCAGGCAGGTTCTTTACCACTAGCGCCACCTGGGAAGCCCTTAGGCTCCTGGTGAAGCCATATTTGCCACTTTAAGAAGGAAAGGGTGTCTTTGAAAATCGCTGCTCATCCTAATATCCATCTGCAATGATCTAACTGTGAATGTCAAGTTTGATTATCGGCCTGTGTGTCTGAGCAGCTACCCTACCAGGGAGAGCCACCCAGCTCCGGGGAGGGCAGAGGAGCCCTGGGAGGGGGTTGGGGGCGGGGGGCGGAATCTTCTCTCCCTGATGAGGGGTGTGGTGACAACGCTCACACACGACTGTCCCCTAGAATCAGACATCAGAGTGCCCTGGTACCCCTTCTGGGCCCCTGACCTCCCCATTGTAGCTGCCAACCCGATCTGTCCACTATTAAAAATGCAGCAGATGGTACATAAAATATGAAGCCACTTCCAAAACTACAGACACTCCAACTCTGGGAGGCAAATAAAGTCTGATTAATCATCTGGAACAGAAGCCTCAACCTCCAGCTCATTGAAAATGTGATTATTTCTGTCCATGTTTGAATATTTTCTGGAATAGCAAGAAAGCGCTCGTTCAGGGCCTGACAGGTCTGGCTGAGCGGGAGCGGGAAGCGATTACCCTTGGCTGGCAGCTCTCTCCAGGGCTGCCCATTAAGCCCTGCTTTCCATCCTGGTTCTTCTTTCTGTGAACCACCCTCAATGCCTCTGCAGTGTTCAGATTCTCCATGTCTTAAAGGGGGCCACGCAGGCCCCGCAGGTCTGTATTTGCAGTCAGTGTGAGTGTCCTTTGCTGCAAAAATTGCCTTGAGCTTGGTGGCCGGAAACAACAGACACCGACTCTCTCCCAGCCCTGGAGGCGAGAAGTCCGATTGTCAAGGTGTCTGTGGGGCCGCGCACCCTCCGCAGGCTCCGGGGGAGGGTCCTTCTACACCCTCTAGATCCAGCGGCTCCTAGCTTGTGGTAGCATCCCTCCAGTCCCTCTTCTGCCTTCTCGGAGCCTAATTCCCTCCCCTGTCTTG